GTGTGTGTGTGTGTGTGTGTGTGTGTGTGTGTGTGTGTGTGTGTGTGTACGCCTGTATACTTGTACTTGTGAAGTTCAGAGGACAACCCTCAGGAACCCGTTCTTTCCTTCTGCTCTGTGGGTTCTGGAGATGAACCCACAGAAACTCAGGTTGCCAGGTTTGCCAGCAGGAACCTTTACCCACTGAGACATCTCTCTGGCCCCAGAGTAAGGACTCTTTATGAAACCATTTTCATTTTTATTTATGTGTGTATAAATGGACTTATACACATATAGTAAGGGACAAATGGATTTTCCCCCATGGAAAGTGAAAACAAGAATGCATTCTACATATGCTTTCTCCTGTACTAGAAGCCAGCTGCCGTGGTAGGGTGGGTGTCGTGGGAGAGCACCGACGGTCAGATAGAGAAAGGAAAGGTTTAGGCCGTTTCCCTCCGTAACTCTGAGCAGATGGCTCAGCTTCAGGGTGTGTTCATGCACTCAGCAGAATGAATCCTGCAGAAAGCTGGTAGCTGTGATGGCTGCCCTCCTTCTCCAGGCTTGAGGATGAAAGTGCGTACTCCGTCACTTGATACTTTTGAGTGGCTGACCTGGTTCCATCTTTCAGAGTGTCCTCAGTTAACCCCTGTGGCTTCAGAGGCCAGTGGCTCTGCCTAGATTACCTTTTTTACCCTTGGGGGTTTCGGGTCATTGTAAGGAAACTCTCAGAATGAAAAATTTTCCGCTTGCTTGATAATATTCTTACACTTCCTCTTTCCCTGCCCATGTTGGAAAATCTTGGGTAATTATGAACAAAGCATTTTTTTTTGTTTTTTTACTTTTTCCTCCACATTCAATGACTGCTTACTTCACTATGTGGGTGCTAACTGTGGCCACTCATTCGCTCTTGTCCTTTCCATGAGAACTGAGAACATAATATTTTAAGATGGAATTTTTATCTCTTTAGTGAGATCATAGCATTACTCAAAGATTCTCTTCTTGGAGGTGGAGGCTGGGTGAGGAAGGGAGTGTACAAGTTTATGGAAACGTGTACGAGAAATAAACTAAAATGGATTAGAAATTAAATGTTCACTGTTTGGGAACTGGCTTGCTGAGGAGTTCTTTCCCTTCACCCCTCCCTCCAGTCTTAGTTCACACTTAGTGTTTAGAGTTAGAGCAGCTCAGCCTAGGATTTCATTTTCAGTAGTAAATAAGCTTAGGGTGCATTTGAGTGCATTTATTGAGGGTATGTCTAAGGTCTTTAAGCTTTGCTTTTCTTCTATTTAAGAAATAGCAGACAATAATAAAAGGACTGTTTAATGGATACTATCTGTAGTGTCAAGCACAGAGTAGGTTTCCAGCTTTCTACTAGCATATGTTTCATTGTTATAACTGTTACTATTGTCACTAATCTTAATGATCCCTTCAGTTTTGTTTTAATTCCTGTATTTCCTTAATTAATTCTTTATGTGGATGAGTGTTTTGTTTGTTTGTTTGTTGTTGTTATGTTTGGTTTTGGTTTTTTGAGACAGGATTTCTCTGTGTATAACCCTGTCAGTCCTGGAACTCTTTGTAGACCAGACTGGCCTTGAACTCATAAATCCACCTGCCTCTGCCTCCCTGGTGCTGGGCCTAAAGGCATGCACCACCACCGCTTGGTTGTGTATAACTGTTTTGCATGTATGCCTGGTGCCTTCAGAGACCGAAAGAGAGAGTTGGAGTGGAGCTGATGTGGGTGCTGGCAAATGAACTGAGGTCCTGGAAGAGCAGCGAGTGCTTTTAATTGCAGAGCCATCTCTCCAGTCTCACACGCCATTATTTCTTACTACATGTAGTCCTGGAGATGGACCCTAGAGCCTTGGCCATGCTAGGCATTTGTTTTGCTACAAAGCTACATGCCCACCTGTCTTTAAGCTTTCTGTTTTAATGATTTTTTTTGGTGTTTTGTCTGCATGTGTGTTTGTATGAGAATGCCAGATCCTCTAGAACTGGAGTTACATTCAGTTCTGTACTACCATGTGGGTGCTGGGAATTGAACTAAAGTTCTCTGGAAGGGCAGCCAGTGCTTTTAACCACTGAGCCATCTCTCCAGCCCCCTGTTTAAGCTTTTAAAAATGGGAGTTTATTGTATGTTTTTTCAGTTTTTTGAGACAGGCTTTCTCTGTGCAGTCTTGGCTGTCCTGGACTTGCTTTGTAGACCAGGCTGGCCCCCAGCTCTCAGAGATCTACCTACCTCTGCCTCCCTAAGTGCTGGGATCACAGGCATAGGCCACCACATCTAGCACAAGGTATTTCTTGTACACCTATCAAATATTGGGCAGGCACACTTCTAGGAAACATAAAAGGCTTTGTCTTGTTGAGCTTAGGCATCTAAAGGAGAGACAAAACTTTGACTTCCTCTTCTCATATTGGAAAATCTTGGGTAACTATGAACAAAGCATTTTTTTCTTTCTTTTCTTTTTTTTTTTTTTCTTCTTTTTTTACTCCTCACTCAATGACTGCTCACTGCACCATGCGGGTGCCAACTGTGGCCACTCATTTTGCTCTTGCCCTTTACATGAGAACTGAGTACATGATTTTTAAGAAGACAATACGCTAAATGCCAAGAAGTACTAAGCATAAAATAAAGGTTAGAGTTGGGGTGATATGCAAGGCTTTCTCACTTTCTTAGGAGGCTGAAGCAGAAGGGACTATTCATTCTGGTCCAGTAGTCCAGAGCCTGGGCACTGTTGTAAGACTCCATGTCTTAAATAAATACACATATATACAAATAAGAAAAAGGAAATTGAGCATTATTATGAGGTAGTAATTGAAGAAAAAGGAATCAGAGAAGTCATGTTGAGAGGATTAGATACAGGCATTGAAACAAACCTTGAAGTTACCTGGGGCAAAAAATTTCTGGTATGCTGGGCACATGCCAGTAATCCCAACTCTCGAGGAGGCAACGGCAGGTGGATCCTCTGAGTTCAAGGTCACACTGGTCTACAGAGTGAATCCCAGGACAGCAAAGGCTACAGTTTCCAAGAAACCCTGTCTTGGAAAAAGAAAAAAAAAGAAAAGGACAGGAAAAAGAAAGGGAAAAATAAATTTGATATAGTTAGAGAACAGAGAGGATTCAGTTGCTAGTTTCACATTGGTAGAGACTAGTTCAAAACTTTCCCAAAATGTTTTCCAAGGACAAATTGAGACATGCTTAAATTCAAAATTCATATAAGATTTGAAGTGAGTTGAATAGGTTTCCACCAGTCTCTTAAGTATATATTAAAATCAAGGTAAAGGCTAGCATGGTGCAAAAGTTGTCTGCAGGAGAGTGTGTCGGAGTTATGGGTATGTTTGTTTTTTCTTCTCTCTACACAAAATGATATTTCCTTGTTTAAATAAGTCATCTTTCCTGCCTCAATAGTCTGAGAAGAAATGGCTGGTTTTTAGTGACGTTTTTTTCCAATTATGTTTTGGGGGGCAGGGCATGGCTTTCTTTTTGGCCTATAAAAGCATTGACCTTCTGGAAACAGACAATCCAGCTGTTCTTGACAAGGTTTCTGTTAGTCCTCAGGTTTAAATCTCCATCTAGAGTTAAAAGTAAGACTTCATCTGTGCAGGGGTCTTAGGTTATCTCCATGCATAGTCCTTGGTTGGAATATCAGTCTCAGGAAAGACCCCTGTGTTCCTTCCTTACAAACCATTCCTGTGACTTGAAGTCTGTAGTCCTTTGTCTAACCACCCCATTTGTCTTTCGAGTCTTGGGATAGTTTGTTTGTTTTGTTTTGCTTTTGTTACCGACATGAGGT